CTGCCATATCCTGTATAATTCACAGCTGTCGTTCGAAGCACCAACGGCTGTGATACGCCACTTTCTATCCTTCAACTAGCACCTGGTCTATCCCAGCCATGGACCGGCCGGCTAACGTAGCCCAATAACGGCGACGCGCGGAGTACAGGGCCTGCTCATGGCATCACGCCCACAAGGTTACCGACTGTCTAACAAATCAAGAGTTCCGGAATACTTGCAACTTTCGCAATAAGACACCGCTCAATGTCAAACTGAAGAGGTTACAAAATCTTCAGAATAAACACTCAAAAATACCAGAAAAGCCCCCATCTAGCTCTCCTGAGGACTTGTTCACAGTACTTATTTGTCCCCTTTACACGTTAGCTTCTTTTTTGATGGAAATGACAGTGCGTTGGTGATTGAATCACGCTACTACCGAATTTATTGAAGTAGCAATTATTTTGTTATTAAATTTCAGGGGCACTGTCTCCTGTCTCAAAATAAGCTCAATTACAGATGTTGCATACTCAAAGTCAAGGGGTGATATAAAGCGTTCGCCCTTTTATTTTCGTTTGCGTCTTATTTTAAGAGCTCTAATGATTACTGAAAGCAGATCATCTGGCTTCGCCAAAATCGTCTATCATATCGCTAGCGATCACTGTCCGAGTACACGATGTAAGTACCTGAGTGATAGAGGCGTTTTCCGAGCCAATTTTGTAACGACAACTGGAGGCAACAAGTTAAGAGCTAAGAAGATGCCTTGAAAGGAATGTTTGAGCGGACAAAATACTTTCAAGTACGGTTAGGCAGAACAAAGGTTGCAATGTTTCAGATCAAGCCTTGATCAAAGCCACTTAGCACAGTCGTGGATCACGCAGGGCCGGTTGTCTGTTAACGACAAAAAAACCATCGCCCGCAGTGATTTTAACAGACGGCAAAAAACACCATACAGTACAAACGATTTATGGTGCAAAATCATATGTATTTTTTCGAAACATCTTAAAACGGCTTATACATGTTTGAGTGGTCTTCTAGCCGAACTTGCATTTCGAAAAGTCCATTTCGGGATGAGCGTCCATAAACTTTTTCAGCATCTCCTGCTTCTTCTGTTCCTCGGAAGTTGGACGCCCCATCTGCTTCTGCTGTTGATCATACATCATCTTCTCCACCATGCTCCGAGTCTCGCCATCTAGGTCTCCCAGCTTAGAATTCTCTGGCTGCACTCGCTTGGTGTTGATTTCAGGCTCACCCTCAACTATGCGTGACCACCACTCCATTTTGTTGATCTTCTCCAAGTGTACTACAACTTCAAGACCGTCTTCTAAGATCCAGGAGCATTCCTCTGTCTAGGAACGGGCAAAAATAAAATGCAATAAAGTAAAAATTGCGCCTCACTAATACAACCAACCTTCTGGAAATTAGTGGAGAGGTGGAAATTAGCAGCCTGAGCAAACATGATTTAAATCATTCAGAGACTGAGACCAGCGAGGGTCCACTGAATTGAGTGCTCAAAGATATTTAAAAAGATCTCGTGTCCGACAAAGAGTTTGAAGGACTAGGACTAGTGGGCGCAACGATACCTAGAATGCACGAGCTTCCAAAAATTCGCAAATACGGGTTATCCCTGGGTGAGATCTTGGACATGAGACAATCGACCTATCACTTCATTACAACGTGGCTGGGATAAAAGTTTAAGCCGCTCCAAATTCACCCGTACCCGCAAAGTTTGAACTTGTCGACGCTATCAAGAAAATTAACGTTCGTGGGCGGAGAACATCCCCTTTAAATGTATTGTCATTGTTTACCAGCGCACCCTTGGTAGAAACGATACACTGCATCCATGACGTTATTCGACATGGGAACGACCAGACAGGTATGCCGGTGAAACCCGTAAAAGAAATACTTACGCGTTGCACGTAACGGTCTTTTCTCCGAAGCAGCCAGGCATATAGGCAAATAGACCGTGTGAGGCCGTCTGGACTGTTTCCTGTAAATTTTTCCATAGGCGAGATCGAGCAAACGAGTCTCAAGGATACAATCAATGACCTTGATTTCTACAATTGACATGCGGACGACATATTCTGCCTGACAAGTCTTACCACTGACATCGACGCTTTAATTACGCACTTTAACAAAGCACATCTCTTATTACACTTTGCTGCAGAGGCTGAGAACGGTAGAGAAATCGCGTTCCTCGATGTCCTTCTATACGGACAGGAGGGTGAATCTATCTAATGCAAGGTATTCTGAAAGCAAACCTGGACGGGACAGTGCATTAATTCCCACACTTTTGTTTCCCTAAATCTATAAATAAACGTAGTCCAGGGATTGGCGGCTAGAGTGCGACGAAGCTGCTCCCACAAAATTATTGAAGAGCAGATTCCGCAAAGCGGCTATATATAATATGACAAAGTGTGTCACAAAGCATACCACTGCAACGGCAGACTGATTTCTAAGACTAACTATTATATGAGATGCAGAATGCAAGACGTCTAAAACCAGCTATCATGAGCGCCTTCTCCACGGCGACCCTAGGCTTATTCTTTATAAACTCTTCCTTCCTATGGTTGGTAAGTAAGGACCGATCACCGTTGCAGGCCACATCAATGTGTGTTTATTCATTCCCGCGCCCCGTGGAGGGGAATCCATTGGCCGTATAAAGAAGCTCCTGGAAAAGCGGGTATGTGAACATATACCTCTTTTCAACTCTAACTAGAGATGAAAAGAGATCGATTGCGGGTCCTATTCTCGCACATCCAGTCAGCATAAGTCATCACGTCGATGCCAAAAGAAACCTTTTAGGTTGTCTATCGGACACCAGCAGACTAGTCGAAAGGCCAACACCAACGGCTGCTAATCGCGGCCAAGGCAGTGGCTATTCAATTAACGAATCCAGCGATCTGTTGTCCAAAGACACTGGTATAAACAATCTGTATCCTGTGACAGTATCAGGATGGTGATCGCACGATGCTCCAAGCCCCTGATGACAGTCATGTGCACTCCGCGTGTATAGCATACAGACAGCCTTCACATCGTACCTCCAACCCGCACGCTCCCTCCTTCTACCCAGCCCTAACGACCACGCTGACTCCGTCGTGCGGGCGATGTGGGAATGAGGGGCATGACTAAACGCCCAAGATACATATAAGCCAAGTCCATGGCTCAGATATCCGTTCTCCATGTAATGGCAGAAGCCTGATGCCGAGTTGCCAAAAACACATTTGCCAACTGGCTGTTCATTCAGAGACAGTTAATGTAGAAATAGGAATAAAGAGGATAGGACTGAGATACCTGACAACGTCATTTAGTAATTAATAATCTTCATGAAACGGCTGCAGTGCATAAAAGGCAAATACCTTCCTCCTGCGGGTGTCAGCAGGGTAACGAACGATATTTTACAATATAAGGGTTAATAGGAAAGGCTTACCTTGACTTCGTTGTATAGGAGTCCATCGAGAATTGTATTGCTACCTATGGCAATTTTCAGGTGCTTCCTCTTGAACTGGACAGTAACCTGGCGGCTCTTTATACGGGTAGGAAGCTGGAAAGTAAGATAGATATTTAAGTTGTCGGCGCCTGCAAGGATAAAATACGATAGGATAAGCGTTAGAGGCAACAAATGCTGACTGACCCAACGGTAAGCAGGACTAAGTGGATAATTTTCGGTTTTGAAAACGAACCTGTCTCACTTTCTCGAAGCAGGAACGAGCTCAATAACAGTCTGTCCGACAAGTGAAACGGATAATAGGTGGCGGGCGCAATTAATAGTAATTTTTAAGACCGCCATCGAATATGGTATGACCATCATCGCTTACATCATACATTATGCTCTTCCATGTGCCGCATTCTCCTTTTCAGCGACT